GTTTTCTGTCGATGCGAACTCGCGATGTGTTCAAACGTCATGGGCTACTGATCGACCAACTTCCACCAGGGCCAATCGGTTGGGATCTCTGCGACAACCATAGTGGTGAGAACAATTATTTTGGGAGTGATGAAGACGAAGAAAAGGGAAATGGGAGAAAGGAGGATGCAGACGACGATGGAGCAGGAAAACATGGAGGAGTGGAAGAGAGCAAAGGGTTTGAGCCAGATGACCTTCCCCACAACAAGAAACGTAGGGCTAGGGAAGAACTGCCCAGAGATTCTTCTTGTCGAAATGAGGATCAGAATGATGGTAGCGAAAACAAGGAGGACACTGGTGAAAGTACTCCTAAACGAACTCGAGTACGAGGTAATAGCCTTGGTCGACGCGTGCATTTTTCGTCTGTTGCTGCTGTTTCTGTTTTTAATCCGAAGGATAGTTTAGCCTCCCCCATGCTGCCCCCTCACGGGGTCCCAGTTCATGGTAGATAGAAGTGTTTTGTGTTTTCAACCGCACTAAGACTGACGTCTTTTCATTGGTCAGCCGGTTAGCGCGGTCGATGCTAATAATAAAAGCACACACACACACACATGGACATCAATTTGAGAACAGTAATTAATTCAGGGGTCGGGCTGACAGGCGGTGTTATTCAACGTGCGCAGAACCCAGGCGGGGAAACAAAATGACCCATCATAAACAGTTTTTTTGCGAAAAAAAAACTCCGCTATCGCTCCGTTTTTTTTTTCGCATGCGCGCTTCGCGCGCGGAAAAAACTCCTAAATCGTAACCCTCGCGCCCGTTGTTGCTCGCAAGCTTGGACGTGTATTCTCTGTGAAATCTGGGCGGGAACGCACTCGCACGGTGAATGAACCCGGGTTACGGCAGCTGCGATGTGCATGCAACATGCATTTCTTTTGCGCGGAGCTGATGCACATGAAGCGGTCATGTGCGAGGACACGTAGAGATGATGCGGTTCAATTTCGGCGGACCCCTGTTTGAGGTAAAGAAATGCAACATGCAAATGCACGGTAATGCTTTCTCGGCCTGCCTCTTCTTCTTTCTCGGGCACACTCAGCCACCATCCGTAGCTGTGGCTCTCCCAGTGCATCTAGGCTCACTCGCTCAACGGCTGAGAACTGGGAACACCACACACCACAGTCGCAGCCATTCCGACTTCGATCCTACCTTCGAAACACATGCAGCCTGAGACAGCGTCTTCCCTTCAGCGTACAGGAGCGCCAGCGACATCACTTCGGGGGGGAACGGCAGCAGCGAGAGCTCCGCCTCCGCTCCGTCGCGGCCTCCGACCACTCGGCACCCTTGACGGCGTCGAAGCAGGCTGCGGGCTGCACCAGCGATGCTGTCCCCGCGGCGATCACGGCTGCTGCTGCTCGCTTGATGTTGCTGCTCAGGAGCAGCTGCTGCTCTGCCCGCCATATTTAGATGCGATGATCCTAGGCTCTAACAACTATTTTGCCACACCTGATTCGCGACACACAAGCCAGGCGAATCACGGCGATGGGTGGAGAAGGTAGCCGCAGTTTTTTTTGCAGGGGAAAGCGAGTACCGCTCTGGTCTCCCTCACTCACTCCCCCCCTCTTCTCTTGAGGGTAACAGGAACACCTGATCATCTGCATCTGTGCGAGGGAGGCCAATTTAAATCTGGCCCAAGGGGCTCCGCAGAATGAAATCGAAAACTAAAGTTTCGTTGAGGAGAGTCAGTTCAGCTCTGATTCTACTGGTAGGTGTAGCCGTCAGAGGCAGTGTGCAGAGTGCGGAGACAAGGCTTGATGAGGCGGAGATTTTCGATGAAGACCTCTATGCAGCGTAGTCTACACGTGCACAACCATGTGGACTCCCAAAAGTCTTGAGGGTGCCCTAAATTTTTTCATATGCGTCGGTTTCAACGTGTAGCCTCGTTGATTACAAAGCCGAGAGAGAATGGGTCCAACCACCGAAAACCTCACCTATATATATCTGTGGGATACGTATGATATCATACCCCCTCTAGACCGATTTTCAAAGTTCGATTTCTCCACACACAGCAGAAAGAGTGGCAGCGCCGAAACGTCGGCAATGAAGACATCTCGTCGAGTTTCATTCATGTATCCTCGCTTGGTTTGTCGTGCAATATTGAGCTTCGAAGCAAATGAGAAATAGATCCGAGCAAGGGTTGTATCTTGCGTTACCTGCGGACGGAAGGTAAGGGAAGCACGCTGGAAGTGACACAGAATGTTGGTTGACTGATGGATCGCCGAGGAAGTGACACAGAATGTTGGTATGTCTACTGCTGTGGTCCCAGCTATTCTCTCTCGTTCTTGCTTGCCATGCGTTTTTTTTTTCCCCGCGCATGCATTGTTTTTCTCGCCGTTCTCGTCTACTGAACAATCAATGCAGAACCATCTCCGTTCTCCTGAGAGAAGGCTGGTCGTCGGTTATTGACATGAATGATACGTATGTGATTTTATTAGAAGCATCGACCGCACTAACCGGCTGACCAATGAAAATACGCAAGTCTTAGTGCGGTTTGAATACATAAAACACTCCTATCTGCACGTATGTATATGATGTGCAGACTGTTGTTCTGTGCCGGGACGCAGTAATTGGGTGTATTGTTTTGTTGGGTGCTGTTTTAGTTTCAGTCTTGAGGCAACGCACGTGAACCAGAGCAGGGTGTGTAATCGCCAACTCAGTCTATGATGCATGATCAGGCTCCAAAGGTGCCGTGTGACCTTCCTCCTCTATGTGACTCACTGGAACCAGTCTACCACACCGAAGGACGGGTAGTTTGACTGGTGCTAAAATAGATGGAACAAACACACCCACAAGAACACGTGGGTGCCAATGGACTTTGCTCGTGATTAGCTGTGGCGGGCGAATTCAATGCGAGAACAAAGATGGGAACCCAAGCCTTCACGACACATCCCGGAAGGAACAATGCCATTTCTTCACAATCTCATGCCCTCCTCGGCGTGATGCTATCGGTATTGATTGCCAACACAGCCGACGTACGTACGTGCGCACAATCGCTTCTTCTGTTGGTGTGCCACGCACGCTATTTAGGAGATTGGCGGGCGCTCTCGTCGTCGTCACGGCACTGGTTCTTCTTCCGCGTCTGAAACGAGTTAAAAAAAAATCCCAGCTTCTCATGCCACCCCCCCATCACGCACGGGACAAAAATCATACAAGAGGACAAGTATTTCGTATCTTACAAAAACAAATTTAAAATCTTGAGGAGGTGCCGACTCACAACTCCTCGAAAAAAAACACTGGGCCGGGGTCGACCAAAGCAGTCAGCTTGTCAGTCGAGCAGGGTCTCATCAACAACGGAGCCCCTGCTGGGTGCAATCAGTTGTCACAGAGAATCATTGGCACACTTCCGCAGAAAGGCAATGCGGCAACCCATGGCAGGACGGGCAACTTCCACAATACTCATCTTAGCCGATCGATGCGAAAGGTTGGACCGGTCAAGAAGCGGACCCAACAAAACCGTCCCGCATCCACCACATTTCGTCCCTTCTTAACAATTCTCGCCTTTTCAGTCCCCTAGCTTACTGTCCCTAGCGTTCCTGCAGAGTGGCCGCGGTGGGAGTCTTCATCCACAGACAAATACGCCTCCCCTCATTCTCTCTCCTTGGCGCAGGTGCCGCCGTATTACGCCCTCAGGTGGCCGTCTTTCCCCATGGTTTATTCCGGCTCAGAAGGCTAAATTCAACCCGTCCGGCTCAGAAGGCCCTCGCGAAGATGGCCATGTGGGTCGCCTTCTTGCCGGAATAGAAGCACTCCTTGCCCTCCCACATGCCTTCCTCGTTAAGCTTCCACGGGTAGCACCTGGTCGAGAGCGTGTTTCCGTCCATATTTCACCGAGCGGCGGCGGCGGCGGGGAGGGGGTTGGGTCCGTATCTTTTGGCGCAAAGAGTGCGATCGCAAGGCTGCTGCTGCTGCTGCTGCTGCTGTGCGACAATAAAAAGTCAACCGATACAGATTTGCTTGGAGACAGAGAAACGCAAGATTGATCTTGCACTTTGTTATTGACCGACCTCACGTACGACGTGTTAAGAAAAGAACGGTTGGACACAGACAAGCAAGAACACCACGCGACGTTGAAGTGCGAATGATCCGCACACATACCCTTGACCGATATTTCACAGCTCGATCGCACACAAAGAGCAACGCTTTGCCATTCATTGCCGAAAAGGACGGTCTGTTCGAGGGCAACAACCCACTTGGCCCCTCATCATCCTTTGAAACACTAACGCCCTCTCGTGTTGAAGCACGAGAGGAAAAACAAATTATGCCAACTGGAGGTGAAAGGAGGAAGAGGGGGGGGGGGGGGGGG